GCATGGTCCACTTTATGTAGACAGGATATGTACAACCTAGTAACAGGATGTTTATTCGGTATTAACATGAAATTTTCTTGATTCCAATTGTCTTTCAACCACTTAGAAATTCGTTGTCCTACTACTATAATTCCCTTTTCAACTGATGGTCCCAATCTTTTGAACCTTGTTTCCCAATCAGTCATGCTCTTTTGCATTTCTTTGACCCATAATATTTCTGCGTCTGTAATCCCTTGAACTGTGGGGCTTCTTAGAATACCTTTGAAAGACTTGTATTTGAATACATTCATTACCCTACATGTAACTCTCAGCAATTTGTAATAGTCACTATACCTATTAACATCAATTAATTGCATACCACAATTCTCATGACTTGCATTATTGACCGTCATGCTAATACCAATTCTGTCAGTTAACTCATCCTCACAAGTTTGCCTAATGGGCCATCTACTAGTTGGTAAAGTTAAAAACTTGGGTCCATTTTGCCAGTCAGACTCTCTCCCAATTTTCTCTGGTTTGCATGGTCTAGAGGTCATGTCTGCAATATTCTGTGTTGAATCGACCCACCACCATTCCTTTGGGTCAGTTTTGATTTGTATCTCCGCTATGCGTACTGCAACAAAGGTATTGAATCCGTGACTCTCCTTTTGGATTTGTGATCTTACAATTGATGAGTCAACTATGTGGTAAATTGCCTCAAACTTCCATGTAAACTCCTTTAATATAGATTCTCTTAATCTAGCAGCCATAAGAGCCGTACATAGTTCCAACCTAGGAATGGACATTTGCTTCATTGGTGCAATCTTATTTCTAGCTGCTATCAGATGTGACTCAAATTCGTTTTCACCAGTTTGCCACCTCACATATGCACAAGCTCCGTATGCTTGCATGCTACTATCCGAAAATATTATTAGGCTTGGTTTACCAACTGCATTAGATGGTAGTATTAAGGATCTTCTAAAGGTCAATTTCTCTAACTCATACAATTCCTTGAAAAACATCTTCCATTCCCTAACCGTGGAAATATCAAGTGGATCATCCCACTTGATTCCGCCATCTTTCGACTCACCTTTGGAAATCAAGAGTCTCATCAAAATTTTTGCTTTGAGCAATACTGGTACAGCAAACCCTAATGGATCATATATGGATGCAATCTGACTCAATATCATTCTGCGCGTCAAATGTTCTGGAAATTTATCATCAATTTCATCTAAATTTAAATTTGGACCACTTCTGACATTTCTTATTCTTGAAGAAAAATTAAGTTTTACTGTGAAGAAAAAATGATCCTCCAACGGGTTCCATTTCAACCCTAAGATCTTCTCTTGGTCAGATTTTATCACATTGACCTTGCAGCTTTCATAATGCCCACTGACAATCCAATGTTTAACTCTGAAACTTCCCTGAGACAATATCTTCTCCGCATCCTGTATTAACTTGAATGCATTCTCAACGGTATCAGTAGAATACAGTATGTCATCAACATAAGTATTGTTAATAATCATATCTTGCACATCCGGATATTCCTTGCCAAATTTCTCTACAGTGTGTCTCAACGCTAGCGTAGCTATAGTACCACTAGGCTTATCTCCAAACGTTATTGTGGTAAGAGCATACTGATCAGGTGGTCTATTGTCGTCCAAATCCCTCCATAAAAATCTGTGTGTATGTTCATCCATTGTGCTGAGCTTGACAGTATGGTACATCTTAGCTATGTCGCCTGCTATAGCTATATTATTCTGTCTAAACCTAAACAAAACTCCCAGTAAGCTGTTCAGGATATCTGGCCCCTTTGCCCAGAAATCATTTAACTTCTGCCCCATGTATGACGCAGAAGAGTTGAAGACAAGGCGTATTGGAGTTGAGTTGGATTCTGGTTTCAATACTTCATGATGATGAATATAATGAACTGGACCTTTGTATTCTCTTATCTCTTCCTTGGTTAATTTCCTCGCCACTCCCCTATTAATCATATCTTCTATCTCTCTCTGATACTTCATGGCATATTCATTGCCAAGTTTCTTCAATCTATTCTCCGTTGTTTTTAATCTAGCATTAGCTACTTTGATATTATCTTTCAAATGCATTGGATCCCTTAGCCATGGATACTTTGCTAGCCAGCATTTTTGTTCCTCATTATATAACAATCCTTCCTCAATCAATGCTAGTTCTCTTTCTTCCTTTAGACTTGTGCAATTAGGTTCAGGACATCCTCGACACATACACTTTATACACTGTGGTTTACATTTTGTTCCCATTTCCTCCATGGCAAAGAATTTGTCCAATTTAGTCTTTAAGCTATCTGTTGACTCTATGCTAATTTCCTTCAAATCTACGAGACTAGACAGTTTATGAGTTCTTACAAGTGTATGATTGCTGGTGTTGGATCCATTGGTAATCTTGTCATGTCTACCTCGAATGCTGAACCCGAATTGATTTTCCAGCAACTGAATACCCTCATTTTGTTCAACAACCCTTGGCAGTATTTCACAACAATCTG